TCAGTCCTGGGTGTTCACAGGAAGGACTGATGTTGAAGCTGAAACTCCAATACTTTGGCCACTTGATGTGAAGAGCTGACTCATTTGAGAAGAGCCTGATGCTAGGAAAGATTGAGGGCAGGAGGAGAAGGGAACGACAGAAGATGAGATGGTTGGATGGCATCACTGACTCAATGAACATGGTTTTGGTTGGACTCTGGGAGTTGGTGATGGATAGGGAGGCCTGGCGTGATGCGGTTCATGAGGTTGCAAAGGATTGGACATGACTGAGTGACTGAACTGAACTGATGCTTCAACAATATGTAAACTGAGAACTTCCAAATGGTCAGGCTGTATTTAGAAAAGGCAGAGGAATGAAAGATCAAATTGCCCACATCCATTGGATCATAGAAAATGCAAGTAAATTCCAGGAACACATCTACTTCTCCTTCACTGACTATAATAAAGCATTTCACTGTGTGGATCACAACAAATTGTGGAAAATTCTTAAATAAATGAGAATAAAAGACCACCTTAGCTACCTCCTGAACAACTTGTATGCAGGCCAGGAAGCAACAGTTAGAACCTGACGCAGAGTACCTGATGTGAAACGCCAGGCTGGATGAAATACAAGCTGGAATCAAGGTTTTGGGGAGAAATATCAATAACCTCAGATATGTAGATGACACCACCCTAATGGCAGAAAGCTAAATGGAACTAAAGGGCCTTGATGAAGGTGAAAGAGGAGAGCAAAAATGTGGAATTAAAACTCAACATTTAGAAAACTGGTCCCATCACTTCATGACAAATAAATGGGGAAAACATGGAAATAGAGACATACTTTATTTTCTTGGGCTTCAAAATCTCTGGATTGTGACTGCCATCATGAAATTCAAAGATGTTTGCTCCTTGGAAGAAAAGCTATGACAAACCTAGAGAGTATATTTAAAAGCAGAGATATCACTTGGCTGACAAAGTCCCTATACTCAAAGCTGTGGTTTTTCCAATAGTCATGTACAGGTATGAAAGTTGGACCATAAAAATGCTGAGCACTGAAGAATTAATGCTTTCAAATTGTAGCGCTGGAGAAGATTCCTGAGAGTTCCTTTAATAGCAAGGAGATCAAACCAGTCGATCCTGAAGGAAATCAAATCTGAATAGTCCCTGGGAGGACTGATGCTGAAGCTGCAGCTCCAACACTTCAGACACCTGATGAAAAGAACTGACTCATTGGAAAAGACTCTGATGGTGGGAAATATTGACAGCAGGAGGACATGGAGGTGACAGAGGATGAGATAGTTAGATGGCATCATGAACTCAATGGATATGAATTCAAGCAAGCTCCAGGGGTTGGGGCTGGACAGGGAAGCCTGGCGTGCAACAGTCCACGGGGTCACAAAGAGTTGAACATGACTGAGTGACTGAACTGAACTGAAAACTGAACTGAACTGAAAGGCCAAGTAGTTGGAATAAATTTGTGCATTGTTAGGTATTAAAGCAAAAGCATTGTCAAAGAGAGTGAACGAAGAGATTAAAATAATGAAGATTTTTAAAGAAGTGGTTTGACTCACAGTGCTGCAGTTCATGGCATCACAAAGAGTCTGACACGATGGAGTGACTGAACTGAAAATGCCTCATGATAAGTGGTAATGGGGATATGATCTGTTTTTTTAAAAAATATAAATTTATTTATTTTAATTGGAGGCTAATTACAACATTGTGGATGTGATCTGTTGACTTGAACTTTTTAGAACCTGGAGTGGTGTATTCAGGGGGATTGATGTGAAAGTGGTAAAGGAAGACAAGAAAGAAGGGTTGTGTGCAGTTATGTTGTGTCTGCTATGGCTGCTGCACCAGCCAGGAGAGAATAAACAGGTTTGCAGTTCCTAGACTCCTCACGTTTTCTTCCAGTCTCTCAGCTCTCATGGTAACCTTGCTTACCATGGTTTCAGCGAACAGTGTGCACAGTGAGATACAGCAAGACAATTGGCGCTGTGAGCAGGATGAAGAACAATACATTGTAAGAGACGAGTTCGATACCTGGGTTGGGATTCCCTGGAGAAGGAAATGGCAGCCTACACCAGTATTCTTGCCTGGAGAACCCCATGGACAGAGGATCCTGGCGGGTGACAGTCCATATGGTCTCAGAGTCGGACATGACTGAAGCAACTGAGTAGCAGCATAGCAGCATGGATGAAGAAAATAAAGTTCAAAAGGTGAAGGGACTTGTCCAAAGTTGCTCAGTTCATAGGAAGGCTGGGACCACACTATTGTCTGATTTTAAGTGCAGCATTTTTTAAATCTCATCTCAATGTAATCCTCTTCAAGTGCTTTCACTTGGATAGTGGGAAATACTGGCACGGTTTCCAGTGGGATTCCAGGACTCTACTCACATGTCACCCAAAGAGATTCTGTCCATACACTCAACTTCTGGTTTCTGATTTTGTTTGAAAGAAAAGAACTGTTGGTAAAATAATATTTTACAATTGCTATATTAATACATTTATTCCTGTGACATTATGTAATATTGACTATATTTAGCAGCTACCCTTGGATGTTCCAGGTAAGGTGGGTAGAATTTTTCCTTCTCCATCTGGAGAAGTATTTATGTGTTGTCTTCTTAGGTTTGAAGGTTAAGAGTGGGGTCTGTAGCAGTCTAATGGCCTGTACTTTAATTGGTTGGATATTTGTGTGAGACTAAATAGCCACTTACCACTGTCATTCCAAAGGAGAAAAAAAAAATGGAATAAGGTAAAGATCTGTGTTGTCACGACAATGCTTTAACATTGTAATAATTAAAGCTTCTCCTAGATGACTAGCTAAACTCTGACTAAGAACAGGCACTATTTACTCTATAATTAGGGTACTGGCTTACTAGAATGAAAATCTTAATACTTTTTGATTCCTGTTAGAAGGGGCTTACAGCTGCACAGTTATATTCAGTGACATAAGAAATAAATTATTGATTTTTTTAGGGGGAGGACAGAAGATTAAATTTTATTGAAAAGCATACAGGAGGTGAAAGTATGGATCAATTTGTAAAAAATAAGAAAATTTTTGTGGGGTTTTTTGCTTGCAAAAATAAAAAAAATTAAATTTCTGCATAAGTGAAAGTGATTTTGGCAGAAACATTAGATTGTTTAGTAAGTATTCCAAATCTCTTAAGAATGTTGAATGTATAAAGTGGGCTATACTAGATCTATTTAATAATTCACAGCAATATATACTACCTGTATTCCTTTTAAAATTCTTATTATTTCCTGGTGATTTGTGACCCTAATTTAAGCCCATGATCTTATATATCTGGAATAGAGTCAATATTAAAATACATGTTATAGTGTGTTCAACACATTAAAATGGGATCAATCTGAGGAAGCAGATCACTTCAAGCTTTAAGTGAATCAGTAAAGACTTTTATATTTAAACTCAAATACTGAAACTAAAATACTGAATTATTTTAGTTTTGAATCCAGTATAGTTTAATTAGGAGAAAATTCCCTCATCTGAGATAAAGTAGTCCTAGTTTGTCTTTGTATAGAAATAATTTTTCAATTATGATCAAGTGGGAAAAGATATAACGACATGAGTAAAGGATTTTGACGTTGTGCTGGAGAGCTATTGAGTGTAAGAGAAAGCTGAAAGAAGGAAAGCCAAACTGAAGGCTTTCTACTGTAGACAGCAAAGTATGAGGTGATGAGAATCTGTACCGAATAGCAATGGAAATGAAGAAGAATGGGCAATTATATGAGATGTCTCAAAGCAGTAGATTCACAGGACTTCGAAAATTGAGCAAAGCCCATGAATTAAAGGAAAGGTGATTCAAAGCATACTGCAGCATTCCAAGCATAAATGATTGATAAAACTGTTAGACCTATTATGAGATTATAGAAGAGATAACATATTTGAAAGCAAAATAGAGAAAATAAAGAATTTTCTTGACTTTGGGACAAAATTAGGACATCTGTTTAGAAATCTCCCTTGAAGACAACAAGATATGGAACTAAATTTTTGTCTATATGAGATATATCTATATCTCAGGAATCTCTGGGAATCATCAGATTTAACGTAGTAATTATAGCCCAGGAACTGATTATTAGTCTAATGGAGTGACTGATAAAAGAACAGAAAACCTGGAACTATATCTTGAGGGAACACTTAAGTTGACATAGCTCATGCTAGAAATCATGGAGAAAGTATAAGAGAAGCAGATCTTAATGCAAGTCACAGTTAGGCAACACTTAGTAAGCTGATTTATATGTATATATATATTTAATGTTCTGGAAATGTTGATGAGATAAACAGTAACAGTGAGTATATGAAATTCAGTTTGAATTTTAAGAACTATTATTTAACCCCAAATTCTAAAATTCTACAATCTTTCAATCCTTAAGAGTTTCTGAAGCCACTCTATGTTGAAAAAAGTAAAATGTACTCATTTGGATGTCATAATTATGTATTTTTTTGAAAAGTAAACATTAATTTGGTTAAATGTTAGAAATAACATCATGTAAGAACATGTGGACTTATGCCTTTAATATTGACACTAAAATGGAAATTCATAGGACCAAAATATCCAGACGAAAAGGAACCAGTCATCTGAATGATTTGTTTACATAATGTTTACATCTTGATGCACCCAGGTAATTGATAACATTTATAGCATTTTGTGTAATACTGAACTTTTTTGGTAATCCTCTTTCTTTGTAATTGTGCTTATGATGGTAAGTAAAAATACCAAGAACTTGTAAATTGTGCATTTGTGTGTTTTAGGTGTTTTTACAATTTTAGGAGATTTTTATCTTTGAATACTTCATCCCTGGTTTTTCAAAAGTACTTTATGTGTATGTGTTTGTGTGTGTGTATGTGTGTGTGTGTGTCCATCTGTTTATTGCTGTCGATAAAATACTTTATTATCATGGGTGTGGGGAAGAGTTTATATGCCACTGTATATAACATTATTATCAAAACAATCTACCTAAATGATTTTTTGTGTGTATATATATGTATATATATGTATGCAGACACAATTCCTTCAGAAGACACCTACCAAGACAAATGCAGGTTTCCAGTGTTGATTTTGGCATGGGCACAGAACCCATTTTACAAAGAGGAGAAACAACCACCAGCATTGGGAGAATAAAACCAGAACTCTACAAACAGAAATCAGTGGACTCTGAGGACAACAGGAAAGAAGATGTCAAAACCTGTGGGAAGCTTAATTTCACCCTCCAGTATGATTATGAAAATGAACTTCTAGTGGTGAAAATTATCAAAGCCTTAGATCTCCCTGCTAAAGACTTCATGGGAACTTCTGACCCTTATGTGAAGATGTATCTTCTTCCAGATAGGAAAAAGAAATTTCAGACTCGTGTGCACAGAAAGACTTTAAATCCTCTGTTTGATGAAACTTTTCAGTTTCCTGTAGCATATGATCAACTAAGCAACAGAAAACTACATTTCAGTGTGTATGATTTTGACAGATTTTCTAGACATGACATGATTGGGGAAGTGATTTTTGATAATTTGTTTGAAGCCTCTGATCTCTCCAGAGAAGCCACAGTATGGAAAGATATTCATTGTGCTACCACAGTAAGTTATAATTCCACCAATATATTTCTTTTATTTGACCAGCAGTGATATATAAAACTAATTTTCACCCAGATTAGTTCCAAAAGGTTAGGGAAATTTTGTCCTAAATACCTGCAAACAGTGTATGAATTACGTATAAACATACATAATTCAGGCACTTAACACTATCTAGGTAATATTAGTGATTGTATACATGAAAAAATCATTTCTTTCAATGTCTAACCTTTGTTTCTACACTTCTTGTTTTGAGGAAGTTCATTACTTCACCATACTGGACATTTCTTATAATTTACCCAAAATAGTAGGCTTTCACTTGTAAAATATTTATCTTTAACTTATTCTCTACAGTCAATTTCCAAATAGTTATTATTGATTTTAACTATTTGAGACAATTTCATTCCTCAGGTTTAACCTAAAATGTACTTTGATGCCATTTGGAAAGGCCTTGATTTGGCTTAAAACTGCCCAGTCCTTCAGAAGGTTTTGTGGAATTAGTAAAATTATACCATTTGAAATGGAAAATGATGAGGAAGTGATTGTTTACATTCCATTCAGTTCAGTTCAGTTGCTCACTTGTGTCTGACTCTTTGCAACCTCATGGACTGCAGCACCTCAGGCCTCCCTGTCCATCACCAACTCCTGGAGATTACCCAAGTTAATGTCCATTGAGTCGGTGATGCCATCCAACCATCTCATCCTCTGTCGTCCCCTTCTCCTCCTGCCCTCAATCTTTCCCAGCATCAGGGTCTTTTCAAATGACTCAGCTCTTCGCATCAGGTGGCCAAAGTATTGGAGTTTCAGCTTCAACATCAGTCCTTCCATGAACACCCAGGACTGATCTCCCTGCAGTCCAAGGGACTCTCAAGAGTCTTCTCCAACAACACAGTTCAAAAGCATCAGTTCTTCGACGCTCAGCTTTCTTTATAATCCAAATCTCACATCCATACATGGCTACTGGAAAAACCATGGCCTTAACTAGATGGACCTTTATTGACATAGTAATGTCTCTGCTTTTTAATATATTGACAAAGTAATGTCTCTGCTGTCTAGGTTGGTCATAACTTTCCTTCCAAGGAGTAAGTGTCTTTTAATTTCATGGCTATAATCACCATCTGCAGTGATTTTGGAGCCCCCCAAAATAAAGTCTGCCACTGTTTCCATTGTTTCCCCATCTATTTGCCATGAAGTGATGGGACCAGATGCCACGCTCTTAGTTTTCTGAATGTTGAGCTTTAAGCCAACTTTTTCACTCTCATCAAGAGGCTCTTTAGTTCTTCATCACTTTCTGCCATAAGGGTGGTGTCATCTGCATATCTGAGGTTATTGATATTTCTCCTGGCAAACTTGACTCCAGCTTGTGCTTCCTCCAGCCCATCATTTCTCATGATGTAAGTTAAGTAAGTTCTCTGCATATAAGTTAAATAAGCAGAGTGACAATATACAGCCTTGACATACTCATTTTCCTATTTGGAAACAGTCTGTTGTTCCATGTCCAAGTGTTGCTTCCTGACCTGCATACAGATTTCTGAGGAGTCAGGTCAGGTGGTCTGGTATTCCCATCTCTTTCAGAATTTTCCACAGTTTATTGTGATCCACACAGTCAAAGGCTTTGGCATAGTCAATAAAACAGAAATAGATGTTTTACTGGAACTCTCTTGCTTTTTCAATGATCCAGCAGATGCTGGAAATTTGATTTCTAGTTCCTCTGCCTTTTCTAAAACCAGCCTTGGCTTGGAAAATTTTAAGCATTCTTTTACTATTGTGTGAGATGAATGCAATTATGTGGTAGTTTGAGTATTCTTTGGCATTGCCTTTCTTTGGGATTGGAATGAAAACTGACATTTTCCATTCCTGTGGTCACTGCTGAGTTTTCCAAATTTGTTGGCATATTGAGTGCAGCACTTTCACAGCATCATCTTTTAGGATTTGAAATAACTCAACTGGAATTGTTTACATTAGAAGTTGTCTTTTTCATTGTAAAATGATTTTTATGATTATAAAATAATTTAATATCAAAATTTGAAAAATAGATTAAAATATGCAATTAAATAGTCTATAATGCCATGAATTAATATGTAAAAACTTGGCATATTGTTTTCTATTTGTTTTTCTATAAATGCATGAAAATAATTAAAGTCAATATAAGTTTAAACTTTTCCATGCTTTTTTTCAGATGATATTTGTTTTAGTACATGGTGTTCAAGATATGATCCATTTTCCCTAGTGAATCTTTTATTGTTGGACATTTAAATTAGGCATAAATTTTGTTATACTAAAAATTGTTGCATTCTTTTTACAGAAATTTCTTTTATATTCAAGAATATTTGTCCAGAATAGAACTGGAGAAACAGAATTAGGGAACTGGTCTCCTAGAAGGTTAGAGTGCTACTTTTTTTTTCATTTATTACTTATTAAATGAAGGTACTTAATTTTTTACTGCCAGGCTGTCCTTATGTATTTAACATGTATTATAAAAGTTTTGCCAGAAATTATAAACTTAAAATGTTGAGGTTTTAGACAGGGACAAGTTATTTAAAAAATAAGAAAACTGTTAAAATCGAAATACCTCCTTCTGTAGTACACTCGAATTTGAGGTCAACACATTTTCATTATAAATTATACAGATAAATTAAATAAAAATTTATATTGTCAGTTTATTGCATTACATCATCAAAACATTTTAACTTTTGGGTTTTTATTTCATGGTCTCCACTGTGATTCTCTATTAAGGAACAAACTAGATTATATTTCAAAGGCACATTGGGGCTTTATTGATTTCATATTTTTTACATTATTACTTATATTCTTACAGGAATAACAGTGGTGAAGAGGGAATTTTTACGGAATTTTTTCTAGAATTATAAAATATGGATAGCAACTAATTGTTAGGTTATTTCTCTTGATTCTCCAATCTTCTATTATTCCTTCTTTTATTTATTCAACAACTATTTACTGATTACCTACTCTGTGTTTGACATACTCTGAGTACTAGGAATGTGAAAAATGTTACCATAAAAAATTGTTGACATACATTCTGTTCCTATGTTTGGGATCAGAGGTAGGAACCCCAAATGAAGTATAAAAATTAGTATAATTTTATAGGTGACTGAGAGTGAATTTTCTTTTTAACATTCTTAAGTTTTGTGTTCCATAATTGGTCCTTAAAAACATAGTAAGGATTCCTCATGGAAGCTTCAATTTTTGACTGTTTATAGAACATAAACTGTTTTTTGGTAAATATAAATGAACTCTTCAGTTTTATTTTCAATTCTCCCATATGCTCCAGGTATTACTATTTTATTTCTCCTGTAAAACTTACCACAAATACCGTGTCTTAACACAAATTTATTACATCATACTTCTGTAGGTTAGAAGTCCAACATAGGTCTTATTGGACTGAAATCAAGGTGTTGGCAGGACTCTGCTCCTTTCTAGAGGCTCTATGGGTGATGCATTTCCTTTCCTTTTCTAGATTTTAGCAGTCACAGGAATTCCTTGGTGTAGACTGAGCTCATGTGAGCAATCGAGGATAAGCTTTCCATCCCAAGGTTTATAATCTTAATCACATCTGCAAAGTCCTTTTTTGCCATGTAGGTAGCATACTCAGGTCTTGTAATTAGGATGCAGCCATCTTTAAGGATGCTTGTATTTTGTCTGCCATGGCTATTGACATTTTCATTTCAGTGTTCTGGAAGAGTGATGAAGTATGAGGATAATAACGTATATTATTAAATTATTCTAGTCAAATGATGTTTCCCTTTAACTGAAACACTGAGCCACACACTGTTCTAGATACTACTTATGACTTTTTTTGTTGTGAAGATAGTGACGGAACCTGTTTCTTGAATACGGAACCAAAGTTCTCAGTATACACTAGTATCATCTTTTAGGTTAATGTAGTATTTAATTAAAAATTCTCTTTAGCTTTTGAGAAATTATTAAACATTTTTATATCTTCATATTAGTAAAAGTGAAAAAAAAACGAGTTAAAATTTGCTTAAGAAATTGTCTTTTCCTACTCACATATCTTTAATTTTAAAAAATTCACACAGAAATTATAGAGTTTTCCAGAAAGAAGGAGAAAGGAATGAAAGAGTAATGTAGTCATATGCCCTCACTAAATACTTGTTGAATAATTAACTTAGCATATCTTCATGTAAGGTCAAGTGAAAGAATTTATGTTAGTACAAATCTCCCAGAGGGGGAAAAAAAATGCAATGAAGTACTTTATTGATATGTTTGGTTGTATTTGTTGCCATTAACTACTTTCTGTGGACAAAAAAAAAATAAAAAATTATTGAGTGTGGAGCACAAATTCATATGTGAAATAAGCCAGAAATATTAATATGTTAAAATTATTGTTAATAATTTATGAAGTTGAAAAAAGAGACACATATCAGGTATAAATTTATTACTAATTATTTCTATACAAGTAGGATTAATATTTTTATCAGGAATTAGCAGGGTTTTTAAAAAAATTTCAAGTTGAATGACAAAGAAAACAGTAAAGTTGTATCTTTATTTTGTGCAAAAAATTAGTTTTCACTTTAAGCTCATCTCATTGCATGTTAAAAATGTGGTAAGCCAATCAGCACTTCACCTAACAGAAATATCTCCAATGTAGGATAAATCACATTGAAAGACAGTGTATACCCTATATCTCTACTTCTAAAATGGGAAAGAAAAATATATATTTGCATTGAGTTATATATGTAATAAAGGTCTTTATAAGGAGACATAAAAATTTAATAATAGTTATTGCATGTGTCCCTGGTAGCTCAACTGGTAAAGAATCTGCCCAACTTGGATGCACGAGACAAGTGCTCGGGACTGGTGCACTGGGAAGACCCAGAGGGATCGAGTAGAGAGGGAGGTGGGGGGCGGGGATCGGGATGGGTAATACATGTAAATCCATGGCTGATTCATGTCAATGTATGACAAAAACCACTACAATCTTGTAAAGTAATTAGCTTCCAACTAATAAAAATAAATGAAAAAAA